TCTAAGTAACCAAAGAGCAGAGAGCATATCCGGTTTTACATGTGGCCGTGTCCCTAGTTTGTGTACAGAATTTGTTGAAAGTGACTTAATAGGAATGGCCTGAAGTGGTGGCAAACCTATGGCACGTGTGCCCCCCGTGCGTTGTTATCACTGAGACCTCTAAAAGGTTCGCCATCACTGGCCCTAAGGTATTCAGCACATCAAAGGGCTGTGAGTACAGTAGCTTCAGGAATGGTCTGTCTGCAGTTTCTCAGAGCAATGAAATTCACACCATAAAACTACACCACGGAGGAAGTTCCTTTGGATACACTTCCCTTCGCTTAGGGCCAAACTATTTCCTGGAGGGTGGCTCTTCTATCCAAAGGAGGCCCCTTGAAGGCTGATTTATCATCACTTGGGACACTGGAGTCTGCCCACACAGCAGAGCAAGAGGCAAAGCAGTGTTCCCAACTGTCAGGAAGAATAAGCATGACGGCAGCGAACATAGATCCTCTAGGCAGATGGAGTGACATATGTGTATTTACATATATGTATTCCTATCAGTAAGTTCCAGCAAAAACATGAAAACTCGAGAACATGCTTGGGACTTAAGGGGCTCTGAAAGTGTTTAATTCCTTAAGGAAAATTAGCACAGTGGTTTTTTAGCTATAGGTGACTTCAGGAAAAAAACTAAGAGTACTACTGAATGATCATATTTCCCCCCTTAAATATGTTAATCTCCTTCTCCAAATTTGGTACATTCAGCTTTTCCATTAAGAAATGCATTTCCCAGATCAGCCAAAAAAAAGTGCCCATATTTCTGGTCCCTGCATGCTTCTCTGTCTCCCTTCATCCTCCGAACGGGCCTGTTTCTTCTATTTCTCCATCAGGCCCACATCGCCAATGTCTGTCCCTTTGCCTGGAGTGCGGCTCCTCCTAATCTTTCATTTTCTGGATCATCATTTGGGTCTCAGCACAATGCCCTCTTTGGAGAGGCTTTTGTGACCCCACATTAAAGATGCACCCTACATCACTATCACCATGGAGTCTCTCACTCAGGGAAGAGCACTTAGCATATGGCAGGTGGTCAGTAAATACCCACTAGAGAATAATTAGGTTAAGATAAGCCAAGTCCTGTATCTTGCCTGTCTGCTGTTTCAATCACACACACTGGAGACAGTAAAAGTGATGGCCTCAAGATTTACTGCTTCTGATTATTGCTTTGTCCATGTATACAACTGCCTTCAAGGAACATGGTGCAATTTGATCCACTACAGTACCGCCATTTGCTCCTGTAAGACAGTGAAGATGACCTTGCTGAACATTACCTGTGGTCTACCCCTTACACCCTTTCCTCCTTTTTTAATAAATGAAACACAAACTTTGGGATAATGTATCCATCCCAAAACACACATAGTCATCTCCTCAGGCTTTTTTACAGCTACAGCAAGTGGCCATATAACCTGCGTCTGGGTGTGGTTTCAGGTAAGCTATTGCTGTATTGATAAAAAAAGTTCAGACTCAGGCACTATTTACTTTTGTCCTTTGACCTTCTACCCTTCTCCCTGCCTGGAATGCAGACACAATGCTGGACATAAAAGAGCCGTCCTGTGTAGCAGGTACTGTCAGGTACTGTCTGCCCATGACTCCATGACTCCTGACATTCACCATTTCTACATGCACCACAGGCTTCCTAATGGAAAGCTCCTGTGACTCTGAGGATTTTCACTATCTACAAGATCATGCTTAGTCTTTATAAGGTGGGGTGGAAGTCCCAGGGAGTTAGTGACCCTTGGAATAGTGCTTAATAATAACATAATTTGAAGGGCTCCTTGCCCTTTAGGTGGGATAATTTTGAGGCAGAAGAGATCTCTAGTAGGATTGGACACTAGTTGCCCATATCAGTAATTCATTAATACATCTGGTATTGGCTATTTCTGGTCTCACTTTCCCACTTTCCTACCTTTCTGGGATCACCTCCAAATACATTATTTGCACATATATAACTGTCTTAGGAACTTTTTTCTAGGGGAAGTCAACCTAACAAATCATTTTTTAAAATTCATTAAATTTATTGGTACATTTTAGGTATGCAATATGACGTTCATCATTAGGAATTTGTACCTTTACATGATGTATCTTAGTTCTTATTTTTTCCTCATTCCCCTGCCCTCCCTTCAGCCCCTCCACCCCTCCCTATTTACAAAGCCTTTGTTTCTGTTTTTTCCTTTTCTCATATTTATTTCCTTTCCCTTCTCCTACCTCTCCAACGTCCCCTTCCCCTTTGGATCTTTACTTCCTATTTCACATTATCTAATATACATTTTTTTCATTAAGTTTATTGGTACATTTTAGATTTTGATTCTCATTTACACTTTCAGTTTCTCACACCAGAGAAAGTATCTGGTATTTACACGTGTGTCCTATTTATTTCACTTAAGAGTATCGCCTCAATGTGCATACATTTAGCTATAAATGTCTCTAGTTTATCATTCTTTATGGCTGAGTAGTACTCCATTTTATAACCGTACCTTTATCCAGTTACCAGTTGATGGGCATTTGGGCTGTTCTCGTCTGAGACTCCCCATCTGTCCAGGGTGTGATGCAGGCCTGAGGAAAAAAATACACTAAGAGACAGAACTAAGACAGAAAGCAGGGTGTCAGGATGACCAATGCTGGTGCAAGTGACAAAGGCACTGGACAGTCTCAGGCACTGACTTTTATTGGCAATTAATTGGGGTAAAGGCGACGTGTAGTTTTTATGGAAATTAACGTAAACAAGGCTCAGAAAGAGTAAGACAAAGCATTTTTGAATTATGAACAGAATAGACAAAATGTATGGTTGTAATTATAATATTGTCTTTTTAGTCTGAAGGTTTTAGTTGTGGGAATGGAATTTGGGTGTGAGTTATTTTGACTTTGGCACACAGGCTTCGGCCAGACTCGCTCTACAAACAGGCCAACTGTGGGGTTGGCTCTTCACAGTCTGTTCTTGGCATAATCAACATTAGGGTCCTCTGCAGTTTCCAAGCTTTAGCTATTACAAACTGTGCCGCTATAAGCATGGGTGCGCATATATCGCTGTGGCGTGATTCTTTTAATTCTTTGGGGAAGATAACCAGCAGGGGAATAGCTGGGTCAAATGGGACCTCTAATCCCAGTTTTTTGAGTACCTCCATACTGATTTCCACAGTGGTTGCACCAGTCTGCACTCCCACCAGCAGTGGAGAAGGGAACCGAACAAATCTTGCCATCAGAAGAATCCTAAGAAGCTACATGCTAAGAACTAAGAAGTCTAGAAGATGCCAAGTCCTTAGTGCCAGTCCTTGAGGCCCTTACTCAGCCTTGGATTGCCTGTCTCTGGAATTCATGGTTGAAAAAATAAATTTGTGTTTGGGTAAGCCATCATCATGTCATCATGATCCTATGACACACACACAGAGCAATGTAATTCTGAGAGGCCTGGAGGATTTTTTAGTTGAGTATAAATGTAACCAATCATAAACTGGATACAAGCTTGCTAACACAGATGACACTGGCTGCATTACTAGTCCCTTACACTGCATGGCCATGTTACAGCCAACAGTGTTTTTTTACATGCCTAATCCTCCTGTTGATTCTATGAAGTAGGTATTATCAACTCGTTTCCAGAAACTCAGAGGGGCTAATTCACAGGTCCATGATTGCATGCCTAGTACTGGAATCAGGACTCTTTTAAGTCCAACAATCTTTTGCCACTGAAAGACAGGGACTAGATTTTCATTCTAAGGACTCTGTGGCATTTCTGTAATGAGTCACACCTCCCACCTGGTCCCTTTGTCTTTCTCCTAAAAACCTTGTGCTTTTCTATGCTTGCTTCCAGTCACCACTTTCCACGCCTATAAGACTGTACACTTGCTTCTACCAGAGCTCCCTTTCCTAGCTGCCAAAGATCAGAAACTTTATACACTGATTACAGCTCTCTCAAACATATACTAAATCCTCCTATCTCTAGGCCTTTGCTGAAGCTCTGGCCTTTGCCAGGAATGATTTACTTTGGAAGTGGAAATTGTAGTTTGGGCCCAAGTAGCACAATCTGTTTGTGCAGGCTTGTTGTAGGCAGGATAATCATCTCAGTATGGCTCACAGCAGCAAAAACATGCAGATGCTTAGTAAATACGTGTAACACTGAAGTGGAAAGCCATGGTGGAAGCCCAAGTCAAATTTAAATTTATTCCTGTTTAAAAATCATTAACATCAAATTCCATCATACATAAAAATGAAGTAAACCCTGTAAGATTTCAGACAGATGAAATATACTACATTGAACCTTTAACAAATTACATTCAAGTATGACTTTTTTTCCTAAAAAAAGGACCGTTATAATTCAGTTATTAAAATAGCGGTCATGTAAACATCATGTGAACCATATCAAATAATACTCAATATACTTTTGTGAAATATGTTAATGAGAACCTAGAAGTTTCTGTATAAAGCTGAGCGTTTTTAACATTTTTGCTTAGATGAGAAAAGACTGCATTCTCTTACTGGTGACTCAGGAAATACAACACACTTGAGTTATAATTGCTGGTGTGTGGAGACAAGACTAGCACCCATGATTAGCTGGGCTTGATACAATAAGCATGCAGTGCTCCTGTGCCACTCTGGGATCCACCAAAGTTTGATATAGGCTGAAACAACATGCAGGGTAGAAGAGCACTAGAACAAGGGGTTCACTGTGGCTGGGGGACTGGAGAAAGCACCAGGCAGTGCTCTGACTTCAAAACAGATGTTAAGTGACACAAACCAGCAGCCGGGAAGAGTCTCACAATCACTCTGGGTTAGCAACTGTGAAGATATTTGTATCAAGGTAGTGAGTAGGAAGTACAGCTGCTCACTGGGCCCCACTTGAGAATTATGCCATTGTAACAGATTCAACTCTGAGGACAGGTGATCAGCACACCACCTACCGACACAGGTGAGGTATCAACTCAGAGGACACCTGTCTATCTGGTTCCAGCAGGTAGGAATCTATAAAGATGTTTGTCACTTTTTGGAAATTTATTTTACTACATTTCATAAGGACAATAAAGCTCATTAAATGACAATACAAAATTCACAAATGAGACGACAAAAGGATTTTAGGTACATTTTGTTAGGTGAAGGCATTTTTTTACAAACGTGAATTTGGTGAGACAAAAAGATAATTATACCACAGTTACTGTTAAGACTTTTAGACTGTAGTTGAAGTTCCAAAGGTTAAGGAATTTACAAAAAGATGAGACTGCTAATTACAGATGAAGAGTATTTTATTAGATACAAAAAATATTAACGTGTGATTTTATTCCTCTTGAAAACTAGCTGCATGAAATGGTCCCAACTCCTACTAATTTTTTGTATTTCGAGATAGGGTCTCACTCACTATGTAGACCAGGCTGGCTTTAAAGTCTTAATTCTCCTATGTCAGCCTCCCAAATGCTGGGATTATAAGAGTGCTTGTAGTCGTGGGGCACCTTACCCACCACACCTATTAAATTTTGTCCTCCTTCATGGCACCATAACTAGGAAGATTCAAATTAAACCAGTTACTTTGGCTGCCAATTAGGTCACCATTATGTTTCTAAAATAATTTATCTAGGATACACTGCAGTAGCAGCCTATACTTTTATTATATCATATTGTCAAAACTTACAATTTTTTTTTCAGTACTTCCTATGTTTTCCCAAAGTTCTGTTTCTCAGGTCTTTGATCTTTAAATCTGTCTACCAAAGGTTTCTAAACATTAATATCCCTTCTGAAAACATGTGGGGTAAATCCACTATCTTTAAAGTAACAAGTTACGTACTAAGAGAGGATGCTACACTTGCTATATTAGGACAGGATTGGTGTACTACCTGAAGGTATGAGGGATATTCAGGAGACTGATCCCACACAAGGGATTTAAATTTTTCTTATTTTTAAAGAGAAACACTGTGGGAAGAGAAAGTATATTCTATAATCTAGGATATGTTCAAGAGCCCCTGCTCTAATAGCAGAATGTATGAAAACAATTTTCCTTGAAGAAATATATGTCTACAAGCCAAGGTAAGCTTTGGCTAAATGACTGGTAGCTTTTGTTTGGCCCTGGAGGTTTCCATAGAAACAGCCTGAGAGACAGAAAAGGCAGCATTATCATCTTTATCCATAAAGCCATCTGATAAAGCTGCTCATTGATTCATTCATGCTGTCTAGAACAGATGTATTACTTCTGATAAGCCTGGACAAAGGGAGGCATGAGTTTGACTAATCACTTTGAATTTCCTGTCTTCTTCTGTTTGAAACCTTAAATTAAAATCCTGATAAAACCTCCTCTGAACATTTCCCTCAGGATCCTCTAGTTCAAGTAATGCTTCAATAACCAGAAACCAAATGAAGAAACGTGAAGCATTAAATGCAGTTCCACTGCCAAGTTTTTAAAATTATATGGCACCAAGCTTCTTGTAGCTGAAGAAATTATTCTGAAGAGTATTTACAATTCCATTATATCAGATCTTAGCCAGGCAAGAAATGTCATCCTAAGTGTTTATTATACACAGTTGAACCAGGTGGCATCATCCATCATTTTCCTCCCGTTTTATGTCTAGATTATCTGTGTATTTTAATGTAGTAACCCACCAAACACATTTATCTAATCTTGTTTCAGGTAATTATTTCTCAGGACACAAAAGCAGCCCTAGCTCAAAATTACACATCTGAAGTATCCAAAAATAAAAACATAAAAAATAAAATATCAACACAACAAGCAAGATAGGGAAACGTGCAACTTTTAGCACCATATTTAAGACCACAGAGGGAAAGGATGTTGACTGAGGTCTAAAGAGGAATATACAGTTCTCGGTTTTATCCTAGAATGAGATCGCAAACACAGAACCCACATGTAGAGTCTAGTACTTTTCAAAAGGGAGAGCCTGAGAAATTCTTAACAGAAATATCAAAATCTATGATCTATCAGAGACAATTTGACACTGTTCTTATCCTAAAAGTCTTGAATTATTCCTTAGGAACACACTGCTCACTTCTGGAGGTCAGCTGGGAAATGACTGCCAGCCTCAATGAACTAAATGATGTCTTATGATGTCCCCCCAACAAGGATCAATTCACTCACGGGAAGTAGTTTACTAATGAGCAGTCAGCTCCCTGATATCTGTGTAACAACACAGTCACGTGCTACACTGAAGAAAAGATTTAATCCAGCACATATAATTGTACTTTCCACATGGAAGAACATCTGAAAAATTACACACACTTCTGTGTACTATGGCACAGTGTAGAAAGCCAGATCACAAGATAAAGTCTCAGTTGGTCCTTTCCAAAAAGAAGAGACTAAATGTCTAGGGCTAGCTTCAGAGATGTGCCGCAGATTTTCACGGTTTAAATGTAACAGGTAGGAAGTTACAGGATTAGGGACAACTTCAATTTTGTCAAATACAAATCTCTTGTCTTACTGAGGGGAAAACTGAGGCTTCAAAATAAGTATCACATCTGATCAATGGAAAAACTGACCAGAGGAGAAGCCACAAGGCCCTTAGTTCAGTATTTTCCCCATCATGTTTATCTCTTAGGCTCCTTTAAATTGTAACATGCATCATTTAATCAAGTTTAAGGAAAATGACTGGGAGCTAATGGGGAAACTGCTGCATTTTTACAAAGAGTCTGGCAATTCATGTTCTGATGTGTGGAACATCAAAGGGAAAATCTCCAGTTATCTTTTGGTAAAAATGTTATCTCCTCCATGAAACAGGTTCCTCCTAAGAGCTGTTTTTGCAGGGACTGGGACAGCTCAGAGATGACAGTTTTCATATGTTCCATCTTTGTAGTTAGAGCTGGAGTCTACAGATCCTGTATCATCAGGTGGGCTGAAATGACTGCTGTCTTGAGAATCTGTATCAATACTTTTGGTCTCTGACTGAGGGTGGACAGAAACCTGAACTGCTATCTCTTGGCCATGTTCATTCAGAGACCCATCGTCTGAATCTCCTCCTGGTGAACTGCTCCGCCCCATCTCTGGGTTAATGACATAGATGCCACCTTGAGCATCCAAGGCAGGTCTGTCTTTAATTCTTTCACCCATGTCATCAGGGTCATTCACTCGCACAGCCTCAAACATCTCCTCAACAAAGGCCCGACAGTTTAGAATAAGGGGTGGAAGAGGAACGCTTCTTGCCAGTTCTTCAATATAACGAGCAAACTCCATGGTCTTAAACTGAGTGACTTTAGCAAGCTCCAGAGTCTTGGCTGAAGTGATGATGGGGATGCGCTTTGCAATCTCAAAGGCCTTCTGAAGTTTCTCAGCGCCCTCAGTTCTGAAGAACTCATTGATGGCCTTCTCTGTCTTGCGAAGATGGCTGCTCATCATGCACAGCCGTGTGACATTCAGGATGAGAGTGATTGTGAAGGCAATCAGGCAAACAACCATATAGTAGACACTCATGTCTCCCGAGGTGAAAATAACGCGTAGGGTGACAGAGTAGGAGGGATGAACTGGGGATGTGACAAAACATGTATAGAGCCCGCGGTCATCAAAGGTTATGTTGGTGATATTCAGGAAGTTATCAGAAATCAACCATTTTCCACCTGATAATCCAATAGACATGAAAAAATTACAGCATAAGGAATATTATTACTAAATATGTCAACTATCTTATCAATATTCCACCTCTTCATGAAAGCACTTTAACTCATCAGTTAGATTCTACTGTTTGTTTGAATCATGTGAAAAATGGCAGGCTGTTATGTCCAGAGTCAGAATTTAATTAGCCTGGAGCTTAAAAAAGAAATCAAGATCTTCCTTTTGACACTAATAACTGCCATCATTTTCTTTTTATTGTTTGACATAAAAATGTCTTTCAGGGAGACAGGTACGTCTAAATAGTACTAAATAACTAATTCAATAAATGTTTATATATGCTGGTATGATCAAAAATACGGTGAATGTTTAAATTAAATAAATGTATTACAGTAAAAGTCACATTGCCATTAATCCCCTTCAAAAAACGCCCTCTTGCTTCAACTTATTCCATTATTCTTGTCACTTTCTGAAACAGTTTACAGTTCACATTTATGGCATTTCTGTCAAAAGTATTACAGTGCATTCTCACCCACCTTATTCACCAGGTCTGGCACCGTGGGACTTCTGGCTCTTGCCCAAAGTCAAAGTGACCATGAAAGGTAAAAGTTTGGAATCAATTCAGGACACCAAGGCTGTGATGACAGCACAAATAAAGACACTCACTTAAGAGGACTTCCCGAACTGCTTCACAAAGTGCCAAGAAGGATGGGATCGGTGTGTTTAAAGTAAGGGGAACTATTTTGAGGGGGATTAACAACAATGTGTCTTTTACCGCAATAAATTTTAAAACAGCCATCATAGTTTTTCAACACACAATGTGCATATACACTGTAAGTGCTACCTATATGTTTTCATACAGTAGAAGGATATGCCTTAGAAATTTAAATTATTTCTGGGGTGATAGTTTATAAATAGTTTATAAATATTTTAAACTGTGCTTACCCACTTTCCATAATGAATGTATAAGGGACAAAAGTTATTTTTAAAAAAACTAGCAATTTAACACATTTTTTTTCAATTATGAACTGGCTAATCTGACATGCTTTGCACATAATTTGCTTTGTTAGGAAAGGTGTGTGGATGATATCTTGATTTTCTGCCAAGAGTAATTGAAGCACAAGCCAACTTATGTGTCTCGTAAGTCGGGGTAAATGAACAGCTTGGCAAAGAGAATCAAGTTGCCCTTAAAATGCCTAATCTTCTACTTTAAACCTGAAACATGCTGCCTTATCTCCACACATGAAGGTATATTCATTCACGGACCAGGTACACAAAGCATAAAAGTATATGAGAAAGCAAAGCATACTGAACACCCACCTTGATTCAACATCCTTCAATAACATGGCTCTGCCGCACATGTCTCACCTTCATGGTAAATTCCCAGAATATTCTGTACTTTAACTATGAAAGCCACTCAAAGATGGAATGGATGGGCTAACTTGGGTTGTGGGTGTGCATTCCAATGATCAGAAGTGGTGTCCCAGGGGAGGCTGTGCGAATACTTGCTAGGTATCACCTGAAAGCCCAGTCTTTCAGAACTCTTTTCATCCCAAGATTCTATGGTTGTGAATTATAGTGGCACATAAATTAGTGAGCATGCTGCCTATTTCTATGATCATCAAAACTGATCTAAATCCTACAGCTGTATGTATTTTTAGAAGCCATCATTTCTCTAATGCAAACAAGGAAGAAACTATGTAGCTATGAACATAGCCATTATTCTGAGTTTCTGTTCTATGAACTTGAAGCTATGAAAAGGACACCCTTTGAATCCAAGCCATGATGAACTGCATGGACTCCATTAACCAATCACTGTACTACGAACACAATCTGAACTACGTCGCTCACTTGCTGATAACAGCTCAAGATTTATGAACCTTACACTAGACTGACATGCTCTTTAAACTCCTCTCACTTGAGATTCATAAAATTTAATACAATTTTCCAGAGCTGCTGCTGAAAGCATCAATGATAGATGTTAGTGGTTTCCAAAGTAAAGGGAAAATAGGAAAATGAAACTACCATTCCACTTGGCTGGTTCTGTCTAACCTAAGGCTTTGTTTATGCAGCCAGTCTATAATGATCACATTGAATAATTCAAATCTCAGATGTGTTTGTTCAGTATTTCCTAGAGCCCAGAGGAGATTGAAGTCTAGTCCAGTGGGTCTAAATACAAAACCCTAAATCTTGTTCAAAATACCACATTCTCAGCGCCATTCTAGATATTCTGGTTTAAATAGATCTGTATTTTTAATAAACTAATTTAAAATACTGTTCTAATAATTCAAACTCCTTCATTGCTTGCTAAATACTTATTTAGTCTGTAAAATGTTAAGATATTTCATGTATATATATTACACTTCTATACTTTTTTGTTTGTTTACAGTCTTGGGACCTGAACACAGGGCCTCCTGCATGCTAAGCAAGTGATTTACCATGGACCTTCAGATGAAGCCTGTAGTGTATACATACTTCTGAAAGAAATACTACCTACCTCCATTCTATTTTCCACCCTAATATGAATAACCAATATCCTTTTAATTCAGGTTAGACTATCTTTTTAGGAAAAAAGTTAAGGTGTCCTTTTCTCAAACTTTAGCTTGTGGGGATCTCAGAATTTAATCTTTAGCTCCGGCTTTTCATGGTGATTTGTTTTAAAAAATACTTTCTAACTCAAACACTTTCTAATTCAGAAAGATCCTTCTAACAAAATACTGGCTAAGGAATTAGTAGTCTGGATTAAGATGTATATTATCAGGTCTACCAACAGCAAAATTATATAAAAACCTTTTAAAAAGGAGTCCTTGATTGCATTATCATTATGTTTATATGATGTTTTTTAAGATTGAGAAAAAAAAAGTGGAAGAGAACATCTCTCATTTTCAAGCAAATTAAGGTACAGAATAGAAACAAAGAGCTGGAAGGAAAGGCTATGGAATTCCACAGCACTCTTCTAATGCTCAAGAGACTTGAGTTTTATGTAGATTTATACAGTAGGCCTCTAGTATCCATGGGTTCCATAGCCTTGGATTCAATCTACTGCAAAATTAAAATATTTGCATCTTTACTGAACATGTACACTGTCCCCTGGTCATTAATAGAGTAAACAACTATTTACATAGCATTTACACCATCTTAGATATGCTAGTGATCTAGAGATGCCTGCAGTATATGGGAGGATGTACATATGTTATATGCATATGCTATACCATTTTATTTAAGGGACCTGAGATTTAGCTATTTATAGACATTCCTGCAACCAATCCCTCAGGATACCAAAGGAGTACCTGCCTCACTTTAAAAAAACATTCTGAATTCCCTCTAACATTTACAATAATTCATTTAAAAGCAAAAATGTTTTGTTCTCTTTAGCCCAGCCAAAACTGTTAGTGAGGTACTGAGGGCCACTGCATCGCATTATTCACACTGCAGACCAGGCGCCCTAGAGCTGTACAGTGCACTGTCTGCACAGCTGCATTTAGCAGCCTTCATTTAGTCTACTAACTTCAATGAAGAATGAGATCAACTCATCAGCAGGAAGTTTGCTGTCGTCATGTGGACACTTTTAAAACTTATATAATTCTTCTTTATTTTTTCTTCTGATTAAATAATTATAATTACTTTGTTCCTTCTGATAGGGATAAAACTCCAAGCCTTTCCAAAGTTTTAAGATATGTAATTTGGCATCTGAGATTTTCTGCTAAATATGTCATCAAACCCAGAAGAATAAGAAATGAGTAATCTTGATTAATTACACCATGACGCAATTACCTCTGTCTCTGCCATCCAGGTACTGTCCTTTAGAGTTGTACCAATGGACATCTTCATAGTGACCAATTGTGAGAAGACATTCAATTGAAACATTGGCTCCCTCTCTGGCTATGACGACATCATCAGCTGAGTGGGATCCTGCTGAGATGGAACTATGATTTGCTCCCAGTGGGGTAACTTGGGTGAAGTCCGCATCTTCCAAAACAGAAGCAGCTGGCACAGTAACAATCACCATTAAAGTGAAGAAGCAACAGTGTGGCTTCATGGGAAAAATAAAAATCTTGTTTAGCCTTAGAAAACTCAAAAGCTGCTCTGCTACAACAAGAGCACCATGGGTGATTTATTGCTTGGTGGAGAAGTTTTTCAAAAGAGAGGTAGATCCAACTGTATTTTGAAGTCTTCACAATTAAAAAGTGAGTGGAGACCAATCTAAAAGAAAGCCAAATATAAAATTTAATCAACTGAGACTCACAGTAGGGTGAAACTCTACGTATCAGAAATGAAGAGATGAGAAACTGGTTAAAATAATTGGTGCTGACATCAGGGAGTGATTAGGGACACCACCTAAAAATGTCACACAGAGATGGTAGAAAAAGCACTGAGTCAGGAAAGAACAGACCTAGATTCTGGTCCTAGCACACTGCTAACTAGCTGTACGACCTTGGCGAGTACCATTCTCTCTGGGCTTCTGCTTTCTCATCTGTCAAATGAGGAACTAGATGAGAAAATCTCTAGGGACTCTTCTAGTTCTGAAATGCTATCATCCTATTTCACTCTGACAAATCCTATACAACAGGAAGCCAATGAAGGCTAAAATATTTAGCTTAATGATCTTTTATTTCAACCTGCAACATTACCATCTGTTGTTACATCAATAATGTAAATCAACTGGTATATCATAATCATAGTCATGAAACTCAAAATTTATATAATTCAAGTACATACATATATTAAATATAAATAATGCAGGGATATTTGAGGTAATTTTTTAGTCTTAATATTAGAAAGAAAATTACACTAAAGGCATATATGTGAGTAGAGATATTGGCTTCTGAGAATGTAGAACCTCCTTCTTGGGAAAGTGTTGGATAAAATAATTTTCCTGTAATTGTTTCTTCAATATTAAGAGCCAAAATACAATATATTTAAGTTTGTAAGAGTACCAGACTTCTAGCTCAAAGTGTAGTAAAATTAGCTAAGGGAAAAACTGGCATCTTAAGTGTGTAGTTGGTAGAAATGCAAATGTAAAACTACAGGGAAAGAATATTAGATAAATTTAAAAGAACAACAAAATACTATGAATAAAAAAGGCAAAATAAAAGTCCAGCGTAAGACTCTGTTTATGATTATCTTCCTCCTCATTTGGTTCCCCTTTAAAATCACTGACTCTCAAAAGAAAAATTTCAATTTATACCTCTATAAAATAGGGGCTGAAATTCCTGGCTTTATGTCATGTAAAAGCCTAAGATAATTAGTTTTGGAAATGACATTTACTCTCTTTTGTACTCACATGAAGGCTGTTTGATCATAGAACATAAAAACCAATAGATCATTGTATTTTGCCATTAAACTTTTGAAAGTCTGAATTATAAGAACTTGTAAATGTCATTTAATTTTCATTAGCCTTTGAAAGGTTGGTTGAATAATGACACCAAGCGGTCTTCTAAATTCTTAAAATTTAAGAATGGACTACAGCAAAACCAAAAATTTTACACTTTGGGTTTACATGACAGATTGAACACCTATTTATTTCCAATTCACCCTAAAACTCAATTAAAATGATACTGAAGGAAACAAAGACTTGGACATTAGAAGAGAGCTGATAAATGATTTAATCTAATCTATAAACTTCATGGTGACTTGCTCCTTAAGGTTATGCTGGAAGTTAGTTGGAAAATCCAGATTAGAACCTGATCTCTCTTTTGTAGTGGGCAAAAACACAAGAAATAACATTTATGATGGAAGGGCATAAATCAGGCACTGTGATAGGGGCTCAACATAAAACCCTCCAAATGCTTTTTCACTACAAGACTGGACATGAGACCAGTGTTTCTTATTTAAGACTAGTGTTCCTCACTATTAACAGGCTACGTGAGTGTTCGGGAAAGCACACCAGGCTTTCCTAGGCCTTTCACAAGGAGTTCCTAGGGTTCAATCACACAGTATTTTCCAAACTTCCTTTATTCCTTCTACTGTCATATATTTCTTTTTTTTTTTTTTTTGCTATAGCTAGAAATTGAATTACTACCATCTATGCTTTTCCTTTAAATCAAGTCATTTTATTCTCATCTATTTAATGTGGAATAAAACTCTACATCACTTCTGTGGACAAAAGTAACTTAAGTACAAAAGTACACATAAGTACAATGAAAACAAAACAGTGCTATTAACTTCCAGAGAACTTGCTTATGATTCTGAGCTGGAGGCCTGCTCTCTTTATGGAGGAAAATGCCAAAAACAAACACAATATAAGGCTCTCTATGACTCTAGTTTATTCTAATACCACGTCACTTCTATCCTGCCATCTCCTTCCTCCCTACCTCTTCCCATCACTGAGTCTTAGACTACAGGTGTATACATTTCCCTCTCCTCAGCAGTACCTATTGAGCACCTGCTATGTGTCAACCTGCTGTCCTCCTGACACCACCTCTGTCTTCATAGAGCTCAGTCTGGCGGGGATTCAGAAACTAACTAAATATATACAAAATATGCTCAGTGCTGCCAAGGGGAAATATAAGATGCCACAGAAGGACACAGCATGAAGCAAACCTCAACCCAAAAAAGGTCTCTGAGAAAGATGTGCTGCAGGATCAAGAAATCAAGAACAGAAGTGCTCCAGGTAGAGTGCCAGGGCACAGGGAAAAAGCAGAGCTCACTGGTTAGGGGACATTTGGGGAAACAGCTCCAAGTTGTAGTAGCAACACGTGGGTCTCATTAACCACTCTTAGGTGGCCAGAGAAGGCTAGATTTGATTCCTGATTCTGGAGGGGAACAGGCTGGGCTAAGGGCAGAACCAGAGATGGATTTTGGGAAATTGTAGTGACCAGGGTAAAGAAGATACCTGTCCAAGATGAAAAACTCAAAGAACTGAGTAGTTGTGAAGAACAGTAGCTCACTTGTGGGGACAGTCATGACCCCCTGGATCAAGACAGCTAGTATAGAAGATACTGGAAATAGAGGAAATGGGCTCATCCTCCTTGCTCTGAGATGCAAGGGCATGGAGGGAATAAACAGCCTCCAAAAGAGGGTCCTGGGAAGCACATCCTCACAAAAAGGACCGGCACAGCATTACTGCTGCATGGAGTCTCTGCTTGATGCAGTTTCCAAGCTTCCTTTCAAAGCCTGGCTCTTTCTCCCCATGCCTGGACACAGAAGGCTTCTTCCTGACCCTTGAGCACTCACCATGTATGTGACTCACTGGCTCTGGCATGTGCTGCTCTGTCGTGCTCAGCAGCCTACTCCATCTGACCTGTGAGCCCTTTAACCAGAGACTATGCTTTTCACTGCTATGTGTCATAAATAGTACATACGCAATAAATGTTTATTGATAAAGATACTTTAAATTTGATATAATCGGTAATGGATCTATATTAACTGAATAGCTATGAAGTATCATCATTATTCAAAATGACATGTTTACTAGTACTTATTTTATTCTCTGAGACAAAAACAATGTTAACAATCTCCCAAGACCTTATAGGTACCTACCTAAAGACATTCCTCAAACTGTCAACCCCTAAAGTCCTCATTTTTCATCGTATCCTAGAAGGTAATATTGAGAATAAAAGTTCACCTAGTACAGAGTTTCCAAACCAGGCTGAGTATCACAATTATCTAGAGAGCTCGTTAAAGATACAGACTCTTGGGTCCCATCCAAGACCTACTAAGAACTTCTGGGCCTGGTCTTTAGAATGTAGGGTTTTTAATTAGCTCTCCAGGTACTTCTGGGCAGTGGGTCCATGTTCTGTCATCTAGGGGCCACCAACACAGGTCCTCATTTCCTCTACAAGAATTCTAGCTATTGGCGTGCTAGACTCAACGCTGCAGCTTCAGTAAGAAAGAAATAATCAGTCACATTCTATTCTGTTTTGCTTTTTGTTTTTTTGGGTATGGGGGACTGAACTCAGGACCTTGTACTTGTAAGGCAGGCGTGATACCACTGAGCTAAATCCTTGGCCCTAGTCATATTTCATTCTGGATTTAGATTACTCTGTAAAAGTGTAATAAAGTTTCTGAGAAAGCCCCAGTAGTACATGGGTTTAGAGAACAGGCTCTGGAGACAGATTTACTGGATTTGAATCGTAGGGCTCTGATTCTTAACTAGCCCTCCAACTTTTATAAACTTAATTCCCTGTGCCTCAGTCTCTTCATCTTTAAAATGGGAAAATTTATAGTACTTATTCACCTAGGACATTGTGAAATCTTATGAGATAGTACATATAAAACATGGAGTTTAGTAATAGTAATCACTGAATATGCTCTATTGTCATTGTTTCAAGTTCTTTCAGATAGTGTTAAAATATACCTCTGTGTTACACCATTATACAGCACTTTTACTCAGAATACCATGTAAATGCTTAAAAATCTTGTGTTTCAGGGCACCATTTTATGATTTCAGTCTTTCTTTTTCTCACTGAAAATATTTTGCAACAATATGGATCAAACAGCCAGTGTAAACTGAGCTTGTGTCCCAATCATGATGTTACATTGTTTTATGCATCCTGAGTTCCAGGCAGAAAGCTTTCTTTGTGATCTTCTCAATTTAAGGCTCCGGGATTTGAGTCCTGCCTCTATTTTTTGGGAACAGGAGCAAGCCAATCTATTAGCTAACCAAGTTAATCAGAATCTGTGTTCCTGGCATTTAGAACTGAGACATATGTGGTCAGGGCCATTCGAAGAAGAGAAGGCACAGAGGTGCTCAGGGTGTCTGTTTTGGGACACATGCAAGGAGAAGTTTAGAGAAAGGACGACAGGGGTAGTGAAGGAAGACAGTGGCAAAAGGAAGGAATGCGGGAGAGGGAGGAGAACAAAAAACAGAGATGGACACATGCTACTCTGGCTTTTGATATAATTCAACTCTTTAGCTCCAATGACTCATTTTTTTTTTTTAAAGAAGTAAATGCCTTTCATTTTATTCAAAGTTAGAACACAAAAGCGAACATTGAATATGCAAATAAGAAAGCAAACGGGGAAATGGTTAAGTAGGAGAAAGAAGATTAAGCTCAGCAAAAGTAACCGAAGTGTGGCCGTGCCCACGAAGCACTAGCACTCCTCACCTTCGGTCTCCAGCTCTTCCCTTTCACACTGGGTGTGGCAAGCAAACCACAGACACGGCCCTATTTGCAGCTCCTGTTCTAAAGAGACCTAGCCATTTGCCTCTCCTAGAAGTTCACAGAAGTCTACAAGACTGGGCCTAGGAAAACACTATG